ATATTTCACAGTGCTTCTTCAAGGACATTCCAGATATGAGTAATCCAGTCCACAAGGCTGAGGTTAAATTTGAATGGGGTCGCAGCCAAGTGACAGGCAACAAAATATACCGCTTGGGTTAATTCTGCAGGGCTCAGTCCAATGTTATCAAAAGCAATGCCTTGTTCAAGGTCCACTCTTGTTTGGCAAAAAAGAGGATCATCTGAGTTAATGGAAAAATTTACTCCATCCTCGACGAACCTTGAAACAAAGAACACCCATTATTAAAATAAAACAAACAAGCAAACATATAGGGGCGCGGGCCGATTATTTACACGAGGTCTGACCCAAACCGCGGTTTTACATAACCATTACATAACCATAAAAAGGTTCGGTTAAATCAAAGATGGCTTGGAACGAGGTTTGGTTGAACAACGCCTAAACTTTGTCTAGACAACCGGCCCACAATGTTTGCTCAGAGCGAAATTGATTTTTAACAATTATTTTCGTCCAGAGAAGGGGTAATTTCTCCTTTTGGACAAGGACGTCATTTCACAGCTGTTAAATGAACTTCTAATAAATGCTACATATCATTGGGTCGGTTTAACCATGCATGCTCTAAGAGTAACAATTAATCTCATAATTATTAATATAAGGTACTCTTTCATTTCGGAAGTCTGCATTAACTGCATTAGTCATTTTATATCTAACCTACATAATTACATATCTATCTTGTTTAAAGAACTGCCTGAGTAAAAATCCTCTAAGGCTACCCATCCCTTGCGACATAACAGATTTACTGAGTTCACAATTTTTTTCCCTAAAAAAACAAGCCCTTTTCTTTCTTGAAACAGCTCTCCGAGTGCACCTCGACTAAAACATAAACTGATAAGCGTGGATCAGAATTTTCTCTTTTTTTTTAAACTTCATACCTTGTTAGTGGATGTGTTTTGAAACATGGCTTCACAGCACCAGTTAGTATACTTGATGTAGGACACACCTGTTGGAAAGCATCAACAAAAAGAAATTTCTTGTCTTGAAGAACAGTACTCTCACTTCCAGAGCTATAGTATCGTTGCAACATCTTTTCCTAACCTCTAGATGAATTTTTTCTTTGACTATTCTCTGATAGAGTTCAGCATCTTGTATGACATGATATCCATGGCCTATTCTTTCAGCATGAAGGGTGTCTAATGCCTCAAGAGAAACAAAATGTAAAATGAGTGCCAGTGAT